ATGGATATAGAGATAGATCAGACAAGAAGACCGCCATGAAATGGGCCATTACTTCCCAGGTAAAGGGGAGAAAACTTCACAGATTTTACAGGGCTTTGAGGGACTCCTTGGCTGGGCTTCAAAGGAAGAAGAGGGGCTGAGGAAGAGGCCAAGCAAGGAGGGGAAAGGACGGAGCTGTGAACGGGGTTGTGCCCTTTTTAGGGGTTTCATTTTAACATTGATTACTGTACATTCAAAGTGACAATAAAGTCATTCTAAGGGCGGAGAGCACGGGAGCTTCTAAAGAAGACAATCCTGTTGGGCAGCTGTGCTGTCCCGAGATTTCTTATTTCAATCAATCAGAATAGAGCTGGGACCTTGGAGGTCTTCTAGTCCAACCCCCTCCTGAAGCAGGGGATCCTACACCGTTTCCTTCCCTCCTCTAGATGACACCGTTCATTCATTAGATAAAACCCACCTTGCTTTTGATTCAGGATCTCAAGGAAGCAGAGAGCTCGAGAGTGCTCCCTCCTCCCTTGTCCCCTAACAACACCCCTGTGAGGTAGGCTCCTGGTCCCGGGACCTCCCGCCCGTTCTCGGGCTCAATTGAGACACCCGGGGAGAAGGCGTCCCTCGTGGGGAAACTGCGCAGGAGATCTTCCCAGACAGGCTGAAGTCGGGAGATTCTCACGCCGGGAACATTGCAAGGGTGGAGGCTCGCGGCGCTCTGCGGACCGGGCTTCACTGTTCGCAGGCCGGGGGCCCAGCCATCCTCTCCCGCAGCCGTCCAGCCAGCCCGATCTAAGAGCCCTCTCGCTTCATCCCGAGCCGTTGCACCACCGCTGAGTCCGGCCGTTCCCGGCTGCTTCGCGTGTTCGGGCTCTTGAGCGGCTGCGTTACGCCACCTCGTCCCTCTCCCCGAATGGCTCAGCCGCGCGTCGTGCGAATAAGACGATCGCAGCCCTGGAAGCTAAAACATACGAAGAAGGGCTGCGGGTCTTGGGTCTGGCTGGTGACTTGAGTCTAGAGAAAAGAAGAATTAGGGGTGCCACGAGAGCAGCCTTCCAGTCCTTGAGGGGCTTCCACAAAGAAAGGTTATTCTCCAAAGCACCCGAAGGGAAGATGAATAATGGATGGAAACTAACCAAGGAGAGAAGCAACCTGGAATTAAGGAGAAACTTCCTAACAGGGAGGACAATTAACCAGTGGAACAGCTGGCCTTCAGAAGTTGCGGGTGCTTCATCCCTGGAAGTTTTTAAGAAGAGACTAGAAAGTCAATTGTCTGAGATGGCATAAGGTCTCCTGCTTGAGCAGGGGCTGGACTAGAAGACCTCCAAGGTCCCTTCCAGCTCTATTCTATTCTAAATTCTATTCTACAAGCAACAGAGGGCAGGGCAGGAAATAATGGATGGAAACTAACCAAGGAGAGAAGCAACCTGGAATTAAGGAGAAACTTCCTAACAGGGAGGACAATTAACCAGTGGAACAGCTGGCCTTCAGAAGTTGCGGGTGCTTCATCCCTGGAAGTTTTTAAGAAGAGACTAGAAAGTCAATTGTCTGAGATGGCATAAGGTCTCCTGCTTGAGCAGGGGCTGGACTAGAAGACCTCCAAGGTCCCTTCCAGCTCTATTCTATTCTAAATTCTATTCTACAAGCAACAGAGGGCAGGGCAGGAAATAATGGATGGAAACTAACCAAGGAGAGAAGCAACCTGGAATTAAGGAGAAACTTCCTAACAGGGAGGACAATTAACCAGTGGAACAGTTGGCCACCAGAAATTGTGGGCGCTGCTCCATCACGGTTTTTTTTTAAGAAGAGTTGAGACGGCCACTTGTGTCAAATTGCACAGGATCTCCTGTTTGATCAGGTGGCTGGACTAGAATTCCTCCAAGGTCCCTTCCAGCTTCTTCTAAGAATGAGGCAGCGCTCTTGCGGGGAAGCCCGGGCGGGGACGGCGTGGTCCGCCTCAGGGCAGTGGGTTGGGGTGGCTTGTATCTCCTTGCCGTCTTCGAGATGCTCCCGCCAGGGGAAGCGGCGGCACTCTGCGCGCGCTCAGAGGCCGCTTTCCCTCACTCGCCGGCCCGGCCACTGGCGGCGGGGGCGGCCTGGCAGCGGGCGCGATGCTTCGGCGGAGGGGCGGCGCCGTCGGGGGCGGAGCGGGGCGGGCGCACAGCCATGAGGCTAGCAGGTGCCCGGCCAGCGCAACCGAATCCTCGCCAGACGTTCCTCGATGGCCGCCAGACCAACCAGCCGCTCCTTCAGCCGTGCCGAGCTGCGCGCCGGCTGCGCCCAGGGCGCCTGCCTGGTGCTGACCGGCCGCCGCCTCTACGACCTCAGCGCCTTCGTGCGCCTCCACCCGGGCGGGCAGCAGGTGCTGCTGGAGCGGGCTGGCACCGACGTGAGCGCCGCGCTGGACGGCCCGCCGCACCGGCACTCGGCCAACGCGCGCCGATGGCTCCAGCAGTACTATCTGGGCGAGCTGGAGGCCGACGGGGAGGCAGAGCAGGTAACGGGCGTCGGGCGGGTCCAGGGCGCGCACTCACTCCCGGGGCTCCTGCGGGCTGCTGGGCGAGGCTGCGGGCTGTCCCGCCGCGGGGCGAAGGCAGTGCGCGCCCCCACCTCAGGCTGCCGAGCCCGGCTCGTCTTTCGGCCGCGGGAGCGAAAACCCCGCAGTAAGCGGGGAAGAGCCGCGGGGGGCAAAGAGCGGCCGAAAAGGGCCGGGCTGTCTCGGCCCTCAGTCCCCGCCGCCTCAGCCGCCGTTTCGGCCTTGCTCAGGCGGGCCCTTTTGGGGCGCGAGGGCTTCGTCTGCCGTCAGGGGCCAACATGCCCGGGGGGATGCTGGGAATTGAAGTCCACGGCTGGCAGGGGCGCTCCAGCCTTCGGGAGGGTCCGACGGTCCCTCCACCCCTGTAGGCGCTTCTTGAACTCAGAGCCATAATTAACCAGTTAACCAAAACCGATGCCTGAAGTAGCTGCTGATAGCCCGGAAGCATTAGCAATGGCATTTAGACTTATATGTCGCCTTATGGGGGACGAAGAGCAATAACATAGATTTATACATCGCTTTATGTGGGAAAGAATAGCAATAACACTAAGACATATGTTGCTTTATGTGGGAAAAAATAGCAATAACATAGACTTATATGTTGCTTTATGTGGGAAAGAATAGCAATAATACTTAGACTTATATGTTGCTTTATGTGGGAAAGAATAGCAATAACAATATCACTTAGATTTGTATGCTTCTTCAGTGCTTCACAGCCCTCTCTAAGCGGTTTATAGAGTCAGCCTATTGCCCCCAACAATCTGGGTCCTCGTTTTACCTCGGAAGGACGGAAGGCTGAGTCATCCTTGAGCTGCTTAGAAGCCCTCTCCAAGAGAGAAAAACTCCAGATTCCATCCACCCCCAGTCAGGATTGGCTGTGCACGATGGGTGCTGGGTATGGTTCCTGTACAATTTTGCAGAGTTTTTCCTGTGTGCCATGGTAGGTGAGCGTGGACACCTGTTTATCTCAAGGGTTTCCAATTTCAGACCCAGCAGCAGTTCAAAGTGGTTCAGGCCACCTTTGCTGTTTTGTTCTGTTTCTTCTGAACGGGCTCAGCTGATGCCCCCCCCCCCCCACTAATCTAGTCTTTCTATTTTCTGGGGAACTTCCATTGAGCCAATTTTGGCCATGAAAATTGTGCTGGAGACTTCTCTCTGGGGACGAAAGAAAATTCCAGTTTAGTAGACTTCTAATTTTAGTGGGTGACTTTTCTACTCCATCCTCAACTGCCAAGGAGAGAGAGAGAGAATAGAAAGGAAGTTTGGCCAAGAAGAAATTAAAAGTCAAAGGGAGAGGTTATGTTGCCAGATAGCTTGGAAGAATAAAAAAAAATGGTCCTTGTGAAATCAGAAATTCTCACCATGTTGCATGTCAGTGAAAAATATGAGCATCATACCCAAGATTTGTTTTATGCATGGCAACACCTGAAAGCAAAGTTTTAGTGCTTGAATGTCTTAGAAACCTATTGTGCTCTTTTTCACCCACTCCCTTTCAAAGTAACAATATCAAGGATACATCCATCGCTAGGTAGGTGGAGTGGCAGATGCTTCCCAGGGTAATATTTTATTTACCTGTTGCATGGATGTAGTCCATGAAAGTTGGTGCTGGGGGCCTTTTTGAGATGATGAAAAATTGCACAATAAGGAGGAGGGGGGAAGCAAAATCATCTTCATTTTTTTTTAATAAATGTTTTTTAATTTTAATTGAANATGACATTTCCCTGTCCCTTTAAGCAAGCTTCTAACTGTCCCTTTTATGCCACGTCTTCATTCTTATATTTTAATTCATATTTTATTCTACTTTAGTAGCATAGGTGCCAACTCGGAAACAGAGTAATACAGTTGATAACAAAGGCTGGCTAAGGGTTATTAAATTTTGGTTACAAATATTTGCTTTCAACAAGAAAGGATTGTTTCAGGAAACCCATAAATAAATCCAAGTATGTGGTTTAAAGACACAACTTAAAAGATTTGCACTATTGATTATTTAATCTCCAGAAACATGCCATTAGCATGCCATCAAACAAAAATTATGGGATAATTCAACTCAGGAATTATCCTGAGCTAAAGCCAAAGCATTGTTTCCATCTGTAACTTTTGGAATTAACTATAATAGCATAGATACTTTTTTTCAACTTCCTAAGTATTTGAATCGCTTACATTTAAGTGAACTGCCTTATCAAAAGCCGGATAAATAAGTTGACATCAAATTATGCTACAGGAAATCCTCAATTTACGCTCACAATTAGGACTAGAATTTCTGTTGCTAAGCAAGGCAGTTATTAAGGGAGTCTCAACTGATTTTACATCCCCCCCACAACTGTTAAGCAAATTACTACAATTTTGTGGCAACCCCTCAAATATCGGGACACTGCTATCCTGTCTCCACTGGTCCTTCTCTTCCCTAGATTAGCCATGCCCAGTTCCTGCAACTGTTCATTGTATGTTTTAGCCTCCAGTCCCCTAATCCTCTTGGTTGCTCTTCTCTGCACTCTTTTTAGAGTCTCAACATCTTTTTTATACTGTGGTGACCAAAACCGGATCAGTACTCTAGGTGTGGCCTTACTAAGGCTTTATAGAGTGGTATTAGTAGCTCCCTTGATCTTGATTGTATTCCTCAATTAATGCAATTTAGGATTGCATTGGCTTTTTTGGCTGCTGCCACACACTATTGGTTCATAAAAGATGGTCTTTTGTATGTGTGTGAATGTGCCCACAGTAATGTTTAATTTGGTGAACTTGCTGTTCTGATGGGGAAATGTTTTATTTGACTTTTATTGAAAGTACAAATCTCTGTTGATGTGTCTCTGGGTGCCACTTCTATATGCTCAGGAAGTTTCTATTCTGTTGACTATCACTTGTTTGGCTTACTCATTTTCATCCCGACTGTCAGTTATCAGCAGAAGAAATAGTCTGGGAACCATTCCAACATTATATTGACTCTGCTTGATGATCATATAGTATTAATAATTAAATAAAAAGTCAAAGATGGTGCAGGATAAAATTCAATTTTGATTTAAAGTCTTACCATAACAAATTTTTGTAAGTCTTCGGCAAGAACTTATCTGACCTATTTTAAAATCCATACCAGGAAGATAGATTTCTGAGCATGTACAAATTTTACCTCCTGATGAAAATCCTATAATTACAGTGGCAACAGCCAAATTTTTAATGACTGCTATAAAAATAAGGCTTCTAGTAAAAAGAAAAAAATCAGGAGGTTGCAGTTTTACGTAATGTTTAGTACTTAAATGATTTATATTGTATTAGTAAGTAAAAATATTAAGTAATATTTAATGTAATATTTATTAGATATTTTGTTAAATTGTTTTAAGTTACATTTTATACTTCCTTTGGGACCTTTTGGCCAAAAATAAAATGGGTGAATCAAGAATTCTGGCAGCAAAATAGAAGTAATCTTTGATAGGTTCTTTGTGACTGTCCAAAGTTGCAACAGCACTAAAAAAAAGTGACCTATGACCATTATTCACACTTATGACTGTTCAGACCCTTGGCAACTAACTCATACTTATGATCGCTGCAGTGTCCGAGGGTCTTGGGATCCCCTTTTACAACCTTTGGACAAACAAAGTCAAAGGGGAAACCTGCTTCACTTAACAACCGTGTTGCTACGTTAACAATGGCAGTGATTCACTTAACAACTGTGGCAAGAAAGGTCATACAAGGGGCAAACCTCACTTAAAAAATGACTCAGCAACAGAAATTTTGGCAATTTGTAAGTTGAGGACTAGCTGTAGAGAGAGGTGAATTTTATACACTTGATTTCAGGACTTTCAATATATTGTATTACTCCAAAAGGAGAACAGCCCTGAACTTAAGATAATTTCCCCCCACCTTCTCCAAAAAGTGAAGATTTGGTAGCAGGGAGGAAAAATGCAACACCGGTAAAAATCCTGGAAAATGCCCAGCTGTGTATCTTGTCTCCTCTTGAGCAGGGGGCTGGACTAGAAGACCTCCAAGGTCCCTTACAACTGTTATTCTGTTGGACTGTGAATTCCAGATAAAACCAATCTCAGAAGCACCTCCTTAATAAAAAATATGTATGTGAAAATCACACCCACATTTTCTAATTGTTGGGCAATAAACCTCCATTGGCAAAAGCCCCATAAAACTTTGCATTGTAAACCCATCATTTTACACAACTGGCCAAAATGAGGCAGCGTATATGGTTGATCAAGGTTTCTTGCTTGACAGTGTTTATAAACCAAGCCATGACTGCCCTCCAGAGTTAGTTTGGAAAAATGAAGGACTCTTGACACCCTCTGTGTTGATTAATACGCTTTCTTAAAAGGTGTCAACTTTGGTGATATTTTTTGTCACATTAACATGGCTCTCGTTCTAAAACTACATCCTGGCAGATGAAGTGGTCTGTACATCACCTTCTCTCTGAACTGGGATCAAATCTACCTCAAAAGCACAATTTGACCAAGAATGGCAGGTCCTATGGGAGCATGTCCTAAAGATTTATCTGCTGGGACTCGGAGTGGCTCCCACTGTTAGGTAAGCATCACTACTCTTCACATTTTTTCTTGGGAACATACCTGGGTAAGACCCTAACATGTGCGATGGGTTGACATCTGTTTGTTCCTTTGTTCTGTGACACGCCTGGTTTTCCACAGCCCTCATGCAGTGTTTATGTCTTTTTCCTCTGAAAAGGTGGAGCAGTCTGAACAGGGTGTCTCCAATATCGCTTTGTATATCTCCACAATGCACCTAAATCCTACTGATGGCCACAATTTGTCCCACAAAGGAAATAATAGTTCTACGAAATATGAGGCATGGACACTGTGAGGCGTATACAAAATTAATTACAGCTGAGCTGTAATTGCAATTAATTACTGTGCAATTACATGCTTGGTGAGGTGGTCATGGGTAGATGAAGATAAAAGAAAGTTAGCCTAGGCATGCTTGGTGAGGTGGCCATGGGTAGAAACCTGCCATGTGAATCCGGGTATCACATCAGGCCATCAGAAGGGGCGTTTGGATTCCTTTCTGGTCCTTGAAAAAGGCAGGGTGTGTTCGAAGAGAACCTTGCGTGGCAGCCCCTTCAAAGCCCAGCAGGAAACCTAAAGCAAGGTCTGCACTGGGGTGGGGAGGGGAGACATCTTGAAGGACTCCAGCCACTGATTAGAAAATTGAGTGAACCAGGCCATCGCTTTGATCCAATATCAGATGATAGATAGGGAGATGGATGGATAAATTGATAGATGGATAGATAAATGGATACAGAGATAAAGATAGATAGATAGATAGATAGATAGATAGATAGATAGATAGATAGATAGATAGATAGATATGGATGGATAAATGGATAGATAAATTGATAGATAGAAAGAAAAAGAAAGAAAGAGAAAAAGAAAGAAAGAAAGATAAATGGATGGATAGATAAATGGATGGATAGATAAATCGATGGATATAGAGATAGAGGGATATAGATAGATAAATAGATATAGATGGATCGATGGATAAATGGATGGATAAATGGAAAGATACGTAGATAGATATGGATAGATGGATGGATAAAGATAGATAGATAGATAGATAGATAGATAGATAGATAGATAGATAGATAGATAGATAGATAG